AGCTGGAAGATGTTTATAACGACTCTGCTCCAGTGTACCATTGGTAAATGGGTGGCTGAATTTAAGGATCGAACACGCGACTTTGAAGGTGCACCACGAGGTGGTCGTCCATCGATCACAACTACCGATGAAAATACTAAAGCCGTGGAACGTATTCTAATGCGTGATCGACAAATTTCTGTCCGCCGTGTAGCCGACAAGTTGGGCATTCAAAACGAAATTATGAGCAACATACTGCAACATTGTGCACGAAAAGCGACTAGCTAAAACAGTGGACTTTGAAAATAGCTTTTGCCTTGCGTTAATCGTTTACGATTTGAACAAAAATGGTATGTACAAAATTGGTGTGTTCTAGCGGTCAATATGACATATAATAATTGATAATATATAATTAATTTGAGTATCGATTTTAACTAAGCGTGACATTATATCGAGAACATAAAAATAAAAGATATACAATACATATAAAAGATGCACATTCTTCTCTTTCTGTAGTGATACGCGCAACTTTTTACTCTTGTTATTCATCCACAGATGATACCGAATGATACTCGTACAATCTTAAAATGAAATTATAAGCGGTTTTCGAATAAAATCTAGAAATGTATTTCGTTGCAGCTTGGTAGCATATATTTCGTTATCTATTTTTAACCGCTTCACTAACTAATTTTTATGGATAGACCGACTATTCACTTACCTTGTAGATATCCCATTACACCAGATGACATTTCACTGTCGTCGCATGAATGCTCGTTTGGCGATGATGAGTTACACGGCAACTGAATCAATGATCATGCAGCGGGTGAAGGGTCCTCACCATCAGCACCAACTGACTATTCACTTAGCTTGTAGATGTTTCATTACACCCGATGATATTTCGCTGTCGCCATATGAATGCTCATTTGGCGATGATGAGTTACACAGTAACTGAATCAATGATCATGCAGCTAGTGAACGATAGATACTGTTGTGAAAAGTATTTTTTTGCATAAAATAATCCAATCAGCCAAAAAGGTCTACATCGTGTCGAAATTCACGCTTCGCATAATAATATAAACTAAACGTTTCACGCACGCAATAAAGGTGCAGTTACACGGACTTTCCAGACAACCTGTTATCAAATCTTATTGTACGGTATGTGTTAGACCCTGAATCTATCGTTTATTTTTTGCACGAATGCAAACAATAGAAGATCGAAACAAAGTT